GTAGAGCTGGATGAACACAGCAGGCCAAGCAGCATCAGAGGAGCCTTTCTGAAACCTTTCTGAAGAAGGGTCCAGGCCCGAAACGTCAGCTTTCCTGCTCCTCTGATGCTGCTTGGCCTGCTGTGTTCATCCAGCTCTACCCCTTGTTATCTCAGATTCTCCAGCATCTGCAGTTCCTACTACCTCTGAAACCATTACCCGATTAATGATGGAATCTGGCCCGGATTTCACCAACAGTGCCTGTCTCTGGAAGCATCCAGGGTTGATCTTCAAAGTTCTGTTCATGAATTGTTCTGGTGTTGGATTCTGGTACAATTTTTTCTCTTTCAAGTTTGTGGTGCGATGTTATTGATGATTCAAAAGACTCTTTCATTCCCAATATTGATTACTTTCTTGGAGACCTCAAGTCTGTAGATTACCTTCTTATCAGAAGTAGTTCTCTCGCTCCTTGTTATATTTGGAGATAGTTATTTGAAACACAGTTTTTCCTGCAATTAACCCCTTTACTTCAGAAAATTACTTCTTTTTGCAGACTTAATTGCCCAGTTGTCATGAGGCAGCAAGTTATCAAGCAGTTTTTTTAATGTAATCTTGCAAGACATGGCTAATTGCTTTCAGTCTCTGTGTAACAGCTTGTCTTTGTCCATTTTATCTAAAGAAACAGTTTATTCCAGAAAGAGTTATTGCTGATTCTTTCAATTCATGAAGTTACTAAAGTTGTGAAGTTTACATTGTCACAACTTTCAGTTCCAGGTTTTTATTGATTACAAATTCTGCCATCTGCCATAACATCCAGTAAATAAATCCAGCAATATCATCTCTGGACCATCTGGTGCTCCTCCATACCCTTGCCAAAGCTTCAATATCACCAACCTTGTAAAGAGACCAAAATTGTGCACAATATTTCAAGCAAGAGTTGGCCAAGGTCTTACCCTGTGAATGCATCGCAATACCCTTCTCCTTTCAGCTATTACTTTACAGCATTGCTCATTTATCTTTTCAGATGCCCAGAAGAGAACACCCATTTCTCCAGCTTCTTTAATGTTCATTGAAGGGTGCATGTATATTGACTATTTGCCTTGCCCACATGCATAACAACACTTTGCTAAGTTTTACATTATGTGACAGTCATGAGACCAATTTCCCAACACAGCTGATGTGATCATTTGCCATCTCTCCATACAGACTTGTGATTGTGGTCAAATAACTCCCATGGTTTATGCTTTCTTCATGAGCAGCACTGGTTTTCCATCAAACTCCTCTCTGTAGTAGTCCAAAGGCAGGGGTGTAATCTCACTTTCTCAGGCTTACAGAAAACTTACTTTTATTTCTTGTTTCTGCATCACCCTATCATATTTTTGTGTGGCATCAAGGGACTGAGGGGTAGAATTCAAGTTCTCATGCCAACTGCAAAGATTTAGAGTTTTGAGAGGGTCACTGAAATTTTTGGAGTTGACATGTGAAAATTGATCCCATTTCTCAAATTAGCCAAAATTCTTTGTTTACTCACCCAGATTATACCAGACATCCATTTCACCACTTAGTGTCCGAACCTCAATGATTGTTTGCCCCAAGAAATCATCAGATTCTCGTTTTAGCCTCTGTTTGACACGTGATTTGATGTCATCATCCTCATCCCATACTCTTACTTTGATGCGATCAGAGGAATTATGGCACTCACTGTGGAGGAAATAGGATTTATATTTTTAAGTTATTTGCAGAAAGGCTAAAATATGGCTCAAAAAAGAAGTCAGTGAGTTTACTCAGTGGATGTTTAAGGCCCATGGTAAATAACCAGATTGAGCTAAATGAACTGATGTTAACTAGGGTGTCTATAGGTCAAAACTTGGTCAAAGTAGTTGTGGAAGGATGGGTCGAATGGTTGTCTCCTGTATTCTATTATTCTCTAATTCTCCAATTAGAGCAATATTATTGGAGACACTGAAAGACTTGAAGGTGGAAGAAAATAAACCATCACTGCGTCAATGTGTTTAGAACTGCACAGAGTCTTGTTCTTGACAGTAACAATGTGATAGGAAATAAATTTAAAAAGCAGAAAAATTAAAATACCTTTAAAAATTATGTATGCTTCAAGTTTGGCTAATGAAAGTCAAGGTAATTTCTGCCTACATCTCAGAGTGCTCTCTTTGCCCTCTTTCCAAGGGCAATCAATACTTAGGGAACAGTTTAGACTTTGCCTTCTCAAATGCAAGTTCCACTTAAAGTGCATGATTTAAGGTATGTCATTTGGGACTTTTAATGCAAGTGGGACTGAAAGTTCAGTGGATCTGACCTCTACTCCAATTTGTAAATGCTCCACCACAATGGTGTTTGAATTGCATGGGCTCAAATTTGGATATGTTTGCAGTAGACTCATGACATTGAAATGATTTATAAATTTGATCTTAAAATCAGAATGGAAGCTGTAAGTGAATGCAAAGATAAAAGTGCAACCCAGTGAGAAAGCTAATTACATTTTTACGTGCATTTCTTTCCCGAAAAGAAAGAACAGCATTGAAATTAAAGCGTGTGATATGACAAAAGCTATCAACATGTTGCTACACAATGTGGCAATTATTACAAATTGAAAATAGCTGAATGAATTATGCAAATTAAAGCATTGTACCAGACTATTTTTAAATACAAGATTATGAAAACATGAAGTCTTCTTTGTGTTACGTTGCAAGCATCAAACTAAATCGGAGCTGAAAGATAATATAGCGGTGATAAAATGGAGCATAGAAAGTGAAAGCCTAATGTGCTTGATACAATTTTCAGAGACAGAATTCAAAAACAGAAAAAAGTTTACTTTTAAACATCTTTTTCCTAATCATTTGCTTACTATTAAATTGTTCAGGTAAAAACAAAACAAAATTAGGCTGAACATGATGAGATACAAGACTAGCATTAAGGAGTTGACTAAAGTACAAGATGCAAAGAATTCTGGGATAAATAACCTTCAGGAAGTAAAACTTAAATAGATTAGGAAGATGTATAGCTCAGTAGGAAAGAATAAAATTCATTCCTCATCAAAAAAGTTTCTGTACACTCACAAGATGACATCAAAGCATAGAGGCAATTATAACTAAACTACAGAATCATTACAGTGCAAAAAGAGGTTGCTTCTGCAACTGCTCTCTGAATGAGCATTGTTACTTAGTGCTCTTCTCCTGCCTTTTCCTCATAACTCTGAACATTATTTTAATTTAAGGGCATTGAATGATTATTTATGAATACCTCCATTGAATCTATCTCCAGCATACTTTCAGGCAGTGTATTCCAGACCCTAACTACTTTGTGTACTTTCTTGCCATATCACACAAACTTGTTTTCCAAATTAGCTTATATTTGCTAGGACCCAGTGCTTGATTCTGAAAACTTCAATCAAGTTTCCTCTTAGACATCTCCATTCCTATAAAAACAGTGCTTGTTTTTTAGTTACTTGTTTTATCTGTCCTGCTACCTTTCATGATTTATGCATGTGTACACAAAAATATGTCTGCTCCTGCACACTCTTTAGGGTACCATCCTTTATTATGTACTGTACATCCATGTTTTTTCTCCAAGAGTGTATTGCCTCCCAATTCTCTGCATTGAACTTCATCTCCCACCTATCTGTCCAATGTGAAATTTGTCAATACACTTTTGTAAGTTTACACTGTCCTCCTCACTATTTACAATGTTTCTGCAAACTTGGAAATTGTCTTCTGCACACCAAGATCTAGATAATCAATGGTTATCAGGAAAAGCAAGGATTCCAAAACTGACCCTAGGGGAACTCCACTACAAACATACAAACAATCCTCCAGCCCAACAAATTTCCATCAACAATTACTCTGTTTCCTATCACTCGGCTAATTTTGTATCAATGTTGCTACAGTCTTTTTAGTCCACTTAATTTTTATAACTTTCCTCACAAGTCTACTGCATGGCTCTGTACTGAATGCCTTTTAAATGCCCATGTACGTCACGTCAACATTACCCTCATTAACTCTCTGTTACTTCTTCCAAAAAGTTCAGCAAGTTAATTAATCATGATTTTCTCTTATGAAATCCATGCTGGTTCATATGACAACAGCATAGAACTGATGATATTGGATTTGTTAGCCACATCAATGACAATGGTGTAGAACTGATGATATCAGATTGGTCAGCCATATTCAATTCCTATATCTAATGGGGTGTATAATGGATGGCCATTGTGATAAGACAGAATGAAAATACAGATCAATAGTAAATTAATTCAATGGCTAAACAGCCCACTCCTGTTCAATAAGTTTTACATTCCTACTGATGAAGAGTTAAAATTACTTTTGTAACCATTTTTTTTTTGAAGTAATGAAGTTCCTGAAGACAATCCTGATTACAAATATGGGTATTGCCAAAACCTCTCATGAAAGCCCACAGAACTCAGATACTTATTGAGTTGGTGCATGCAGAGGAAATTAATGTAATAAAGAAGTTGTATCAAATGTTTCCTTACTACTTACAAATCTGAAAGCCTGCAGTACCAATAGGCTTTTAAAAAAGAATTCAAGTTACAGTGAACAAAATCAATCAACCTTTCGATTCATTTTTTAAAAAAAAAGTCTGAAGGAGAAAACTTACAAATAAAATTTCTCTTCCCACACAGGATTCAGATTTCCATAAATAGTCTTTGTTCTCTTCTTGGTTTTGCCAACCTGAACAGTGACATACGGATCACTGGAGCCAGTTTTATCCTTTGCTTGAAGTCCCTGAGCACATACCACTGCAAAGAGTTGGAAATCGTGCATGAGCACAGTTTAAATATTAATCAAAGTCTTTTAAGTTCTTTTTCAATTAAGAAATAAAAGCTTAGAATATAATAATCACCAATAAGTTCATAATGATTACCGTTTCATCATAGTTTATGCTGAGCAAAAATCAAAAATTGGTCTGATAAATGATGAAAGTTACTGCATTTTATTTCATTTTTCATCATTTTAATTTACTGTTTAACAGAGTTAAGAAAAAATGAAAAATGACAACCAGCTTAAGTAAATTTGTGTTTTAATCAATGAAACTTCAGGGTGGATTTATTATGAAAATTTAGTTTGAAGAAGTATATTCAATTAAAAACTTTATTTATTTTCAATAACTGAATTAGTACTACCAGCTTTTTAATAAGAATTTCATGCTTAAAACCCTTAGGAGAATCATGGTGAGCCTGCCAGCATTGGACTTTGAGTTAATGCCATTAAGACAGACATGCGTAAAAGCAAAAAAGAATACATGCAGAAATAATTACAAAATTTATTACAATTATATATTTAGAAATTACATAGCCGAACAAGTTAAGAATTTGAGTTTATCCAGAGATTTAAAAAATCCTCAAGCCAGTTCAATATGCCTTCAATAAGGTCTCACACAAGAAATTAACATGTAACGTTAAAACACATGGGATTGGCAGTTATGTACTGAAATGGATTGAGAACTGGTTGGCTGACAGGAAAAAGAAAGCAGGAATAAACAAGTCTTTTTTTAAGTGGCAGACAGCAACCACTGAGTTATCACAGGGATCAATGCTTGGATGCCATGTTTTCACAAAATTCTTTGATGATTTAGACAAGGAAATGGCATGTCATATTTTCAAATTTACAGATCACACAAAACTGGGAGGGAGGAATTACTGTGAGGATGTGGAGAAGCTTTACTGTGATTTGGACAAATTAATCTGAGGCAGCATGGTAGCTCAGTGGTTAGCACTACTGCCTCACAGCGCCAGGGACCTGGGTTCGATTCCACCCTTGAGCGACTACCTGTGTGGAGTTTGCACATTCTCCCCGTGTCTGAGTGGGTTTCCTCCAGGTGCTCCGGTTTCCTCCCACAGTCCAAAGATGTGCAGGCTACGTGGTTTGGCCATGCTAAATTGCCCATAGTGTTCAGGGATGTGTAGATTATGTGGGTTATAGAGGAATGGGTCTGGGTTGGATGCTCTAAGAGTCAGTGTGGACTTGTTGGGTCAAAGGGCCTGTTTCCATACTCTAGGGATTCCATGAAATCTATGATTCTATGAAATTGAGTGGGCAAATACATGGCAGCTACAGTATAATGTGAATAAATGCAGGGCCATCCACTTTGATAGCAAGAACAGGCAGGCAGATTTTTATTTGAATGACAACAGATTGGAAAAGGGGGAGGTTCAATGAGACCTAGGGATCACAGAAAGTAAGCATGCAGGTGGAGAGGCAAATAGTATGTTGGCCTTCATAGTGAGGGGATTCTAATACAGGAGTGTCTTGCTGGGCATTGGTAACATCAATCCCAGGTTATAGTGTACAGCTTTGGTTTCCTTATCTGAGGAAGTAGGTTCTGGCTATTGAGGGAGTGCAAACAAGGTTTACCAGACTAATTTCTGAGATGGTGGGACTGACATAGGGCGAGAGAGACTGGATCGGTTAGGACTATATTTACTGGCTTTTAGAAGAATGAGGAGGGGCTCTCAAAGAAACCTATAAAACTCTAACAAGGATTAGATTGGGTTTTTGATGAATGGGGAGTCTAAAACCACAGGTTCCAATCTGAGGATAAGGGGTAGGCCTTTTAGGACAAAGATGAGGAGGAATTTGTTCATGCAGACAGTGATGAGCTTGTGGAAGTCTCTGCCACAGGAAACTATTGAGGCCAAAACACTGAAGACTTTCAAGGAAGATGTAGATATAGCTCTTAGAATTTAAGGGATCAAAGGATAGAGGGAGAAAGCAGGATGATCAGCTATGATTGTATAGAATGGCAGAGCAAGCTCAAAGGAGCAAAAAGCCTACTCCTGCTCCTATATTCTGTTTCTACGTTTAGAATTGTGGACCTGCAAAGTCCTCTTCACCAGCATCTGTTAGCTTGTGCCAAAATTAGCAGGGCTGTTTCACCGGATAGTCAAGCAACAGTCTGACATACAAACAATCAAACATTCTAATCAGGAGCAGGAACAGGCTAATCAAACCATTGGGCTTGCTCCATCATTTAATAAGATCATGGCTGATCTGATTATAACCTCAAATCTACATTCATCCTTACTCTGAGATCCTTTCAATCGCTTACTTAACACGAATCAATCCACCTCTGCCTTATAAATATCCAAGGACTCTGCTTCCATCACCCTTTCAAGGAGAGAGTTTCAGAGACTTGACCCTCCGTAGAAAATAAAAACCTCTCTCTGATTTAAATGGGTGACCCCTGATTTTGACATAACAACACCTAGTTCTGGATTCTCCCATTAAAGGATCTATCCTCTCCACATCTACCCTGTCAAGACTGTTCAGAACCTTATATGTTTCAATCCTACTCTTTTAAACTCCAGTGGATAAAAGTTTGGATTGTCTAACTTTTCCTCATAAGACAACTTGTTCATTCCAGACTTTAGTCCAGTAAACCTTCTGAACTGACTCCAACACAGTTACATGCTTCCTTACATAAGCAGACCATTATTGTACAGAATATTCCAGATGTAGTCTCACCAATGTCCTGAATAAGTGAAGCAGAACCTCCCTACTTCTGCGTTCAATTCACCTCACAATAATCAATAACATTCCTTTATTCTCCCTAATTACTTGCTGTATCTGCAATCTCTCCCTACTTAGATTAATCAAAGTGAGAGACTTCAATGCCCATCACCAAGAGGGCTTCGTAGTACCACCAGTAAATGAGCTGTGCCATTTTTTGCATGAAGGATATAGCTGCTAGACTGGAACTAACAAAAAGGGACAACTCTACTTCAACTTGTCCTCACCAATGTACCTGCTGCAGACGCACCTCATCAAATACTTTCTAGAAATCCAAATACAGCACATCTGCAGGTTCCCTTTTATTCATGTTGCTTGTGGCTTCCGCAAAAAATGTTTAATAATAAAGCAAATATGATTGCCCTTTTACAGAACCATGTTGACTCTGCTTGATTGCGTTAATATTTTCTGAATGGTTTTATCAAGATCTGTAACAATAGATTCCAGCATTGTCCCTACATCAGATGTTAGGCCAACTGGTATATAGTTTCTGATTTTCTATCTCCCTTGTTTCTTGAGGTTCAGTTGGCAGTTAGGAAGGCAAACGCCATGTTAGCATTCATTTTAAGTGGGCTAGAAACCAAGAGCAGAAATGTACTACTGAGGCTGTGAAAGTCTCTGGTCAGACAGTATTTGGGATATTGTGAGCAATTTTGGGCCCTGTATGCAAGGATGGACGAGCTAGCATTGGAGAGAGTCCAGAGGAAGTTTAACAAGAATGATCCCAGGGATGAAGGGCTTGTCATATGAGGAACATTTCTTTCTCCATTCGTTCACGGGATGAGGACATCACTGGCTAGGCAGCATTTATTGCCCATCCCTATTTGCCCAGAGAGCAGTTAAGAGCCAACCACATTGCTGTGGGCCTAGAGTTACATGTAGGCCAGACCAGGTGAGGCTGGCAGATTTCCTTCCCTGAAAGACATTAGTGAACAAGATGGGTTTTTCCTACAATCAACAAAGGATTTGTGGTCATCATTAGATTCTTAATTCCAGATATTTACTGAATTCAAATTCCACCATCTGCCATGGCAGGATTCAAACCCGGGTCCCCAGAATGTTATCTAGGTCTCTGGATTAACAGTCCAGTGATAATACCACAAGGCCATTGCCTACAGACTCTGGGTCTGTAGATGGAGTTTAGAAGATGGGATAGGGGTTGGGATCTCATTGAGTTATATAGAATACAGAGACGTCTGGTTAGACAATGGACATGAAGATGATGTTTCCACTAGTAGGAGAGACTAGGATCTGAGGACACGGCCTCAGAGTGTAGGGACAACCCTAATAAACCAAAGCGTGCTGAATCTGTGGAACTCATTACCATAGAAGACTGTCGAGGCCAAGTCACCGAGTATATTTCAGACAGACATAGATAAGTTCTTGATTAGTTAGGAGATTTAAGGTTATAGGGAGAAGGCGGGAGAATGGGCAGCACAATGTCTCAGTGATTAGCACTCTGCCTCATAGTGCCAGGAACCTGGGTTCGATCCCAGCCTCGGATGACTTCAGTGTGGAGTTTGCATATTCTCCTCATGTCTGCCTGATTTTCCGCCAGGTGCTCCAGTTTCCTCCCACAGTTCAAAGTTGTGCATATTAGGTGGATTGGTAAATTCTCCATAGGTGTCTAGGGATGCGTGGGTTAGATAGGTTAGCCATGTTAAAAAAAATGTGGGGGTAAACATGAATAAGGTGGGGGTCTGGGTCTGGGTCTGGGTGGGACGCTACTTGGAGGGTTGGTGCAGACTTGATGGGCCAAATGATTCTTTCCGACTGTAGGGATCGTATCAATGGGACTGAGAAACATACTAGCCATGATCAAACAGCAAAGGAGAAATGATGGGCCAAATAGTCTAATTCTGCTGCTATATCCAATGGTCTTAAACTGTCAGCTTTGATTTTGAGCTTAATTCTGCAGTTGGGGTTAATCAATGAAAGCAACAAATCAAATCTGAATGACAGAAATGTGATCGAACTACTTTCAGCAATTAAAATAAATTGCTAGTTCTGAGAAAATGCTGATTTCCTTACCTACATCTGTGCATTAAAAAATTACTTGGCCCAGAGAGGAAATACATAGATAAAAACAAGAAGTAATGAAGAGTACCTGAATTTTTATCTAATGGTTTAAATGGATGGAAAATCAAGTTCAGTCATCCTTATTAGATTTGTTTCTTTGTGTTCTGCTTCAGTGATCATTTCATGACCAAGAACTAAAAAGGGCTATCAGTTCCTTTATAAAACAGAGTAACCGCTGCAGCTTCGTCAGAAATAGGGCCAACGATCTACATTGATCTATTTACTGGGCATCTTAACAATGAAAGGACAAAATTAACAGTCATTTGGACAAATATGGATTAATCAAGGAAAGCCAGTATGGATTGCTAAAGTCAAATGGTGCTCAACCAATAGAGTACAAGAACAAAGAGGATACAGCAAACTTGCATAAGACACCAGTTCAGTCTCAACTGTAACATTGCATCCTGTTCTGAATGTGAAAGAATTGGAGGGTACATAAGTGTTTTTAGATGATGGTTCCAAGGATGAAGAAAAGTTGTGAAGATAGAAGGACAAGTTGTGACTACGTTCCTTGGAGATGAGAAAGCACAGAGGGAATTTGATGGAAAAATCATGAGATCATGGTTGAGTAAATAGGAAAAAAAGTGATTCCAACTCACCAAAGGATTGAGAACAAGAGGGTTCAAATTTACAGTAATTAATAATGGAAGCAAAAATGATGAGAAAACCCTTATCACACAAGTGGTTTGGGTCAGGAACGCACCACCCAAAATTATCAATTCAGTTAAAAGTGATTAGATGTTTATTTGAAATAAGACAATAAGTGGAGTATGGGGAAAAGGCAGCAGACTAGCACAAAGTTATATACTGAATGGCTTCCTCCTGTACTGTAACAATTCTGTGAATCTGGAGTTTTTGATTCCTAGATTCAGGCAGTGCGGAAAATGCCCTCCAGCCCATCGAGTCTGCACCGACATAACTAGCAGTAAAAGTGCACTAATCCCAATTTCCTGCACTTGTCCCATATCCTTGAATATTATAATATTTGAAGTACTTATCCAAATATTTTTTAAAAGTTGTAAGGTTTCCGGCCTCCACTACTTTCCCAGACAGTGCATTCCAGATTCCCACCACCAGTCAAAATTTTTGAGTTTTTTTTTCCCAAATCTCCTCTGAATCTCCTGCCCTTTATTCTAAAATTATGCTCTCTAATGACAGACTCCCTCCCAACCAAGGGGAGCAGCTACTGTATTCACCCTCTCCATACCCCTCATAATCTTACGCACCTCAATCATATCCCCCCCTCAGTCTTCTCTGCTCTAAAGAAAACAATCCAAACCTATCCAGTCTCTTCTTCTTGCCCAATTTCTCCATCCCAGGCAACATTCTGGTGAACCTCCTCTGTACCCTGTCTGGCACTACCAATCCTTCCTGTAGCGAGGTGATCAGAATTGCAGACAGTGCTCCAGTTGTGGGCCTGACCAACGTTCTGTACAATTCCAGCACTGCCTCTTTGCTCTTATACTCTGTGCCATGACTGATGAAAGCAAGTGCAAGCAAACATGCCTTCTTAACTATCCTATTTACGTGCTCTGCTGACTTCAGGGATCTGGGTATAATCTGCTACTACTGATTCTTCTCGTACACCGCAGGACACCGGCCTCCAGTCACTCAAACAGCCATCTAGGCTGGGATGAGATAAAGGTTGATGAAAAAGATGTAAATTAAGACATAAAGCAAAAGCACATAGATTAATGATGAACCTTCATGAAACATTGGGCCAGAACCAATTGAAGTATCTTGTCCAATTCTGGGCTCCGCAGCTTTGTAAAAGTGCAAAAAAATAGTGAAGGTGCAAGAAAATGCAATATAAGAAAATGGTCACAGGAATGAGGAATTTTCATCAAGTGTATGGATTGGAGAAATCTGGCTTGTTCTCCTTAGAAAATGCTAAGAGAAGATTTGATAACAGCATTCAAAATAGGGAGGCGTGTGCACAGAGTTATTAAGGATAAATTGTCCTCATTGTTGAAAAGGTCAAGATTCAAAGGACACCTATTTAAAGAGAATTGCAGAAGAACTAAAAGCAGCATGAGAATAATGTTTTATGTAGCACGTGGTTAGGTTTCAGAGGCAAATTCAATCATGGCTTTCAATAAGGAGATCATTGTCCGAATGGAAAACAATTTCAGGGTTATATGGGAAAGGCACAAAAGTGATTTGCTTGTGCAAAGAGCTGGCAGACACAATGGGCCAAATGGCCTCTCTTCTTTGCCTCAATCATTCTGTATATTTCAGTGATTTACAAAGCTCATTACTGTTACTGACATATAGCAGCAATGTCACCGGTGGAAATTTACGTCTGTCATGCAGCATTTTATTGCAAGGAATCTTGGCATTGGAGATTTAAACATAATTCTCAAGAATTTTCTAGAATTTCTCGCCTTTATTTGAAATTACTGGAAAAATGGACAACGTGGAATATATCTGATATTTACAGAGCCCGGTCCATCAAATACAAGGTGTTGGTAACTTTTGCACTGTACCAGTTATAGTAATCTTTGCTGACCACTTAGATGTTCCATCAAGTACACTTTGTTTGATGGTCTTCATTTGTTGTGCATGTGTAACTTTTACCACTCCAAAGACATCTCTGATCAGTTCAAAGATTTCTGGTTTGTTCCGTTCTCGGATTTTCATCCTGTCTTTCATTGCCATGATAATATTTTGTGTTCTATCTTCTGCACCATGTTTGGAGCTTTTTTCAGCTGCACCTGTTTGTAGAAAACATACCATTATTCAATTACAATTAGTATACAAAAGTGGTTGTGAAAAATTACTGGATTTCCTTTACTGTGATGATTGTACAGCTAGCTTAAGGTCATGAGACTAAAATCAAAATTAAATATTGAATCAATAAGTAACTTAGTTCGCAAACATTTCGTCTTTGTGGAGATGTTTTCCCTTACCCAGAAAGGTAAGTTACAGAACCAACAAGGACAAACCTATCAAGCTGGAATAGGAACATGGCATGGTCAGCTGTGTAAAAGGCTGCAGGGAGGTCACAAAAGAGACATATAATTACACATTAAAGAATAGACTCAGCAAAGCTCTGATTGCAGACATTGTTGGACTGAACATAAATCAATGTAAATATGTATGAATCAACAAATACACAGAAAACAGACTCACGTTGCAAACAGTCTGCATTTAGTAGATCTTGGCACTTTTCATGGCATTTTACCCCACATTCAGTGCACCGCATTCCCTGACGAGCAATTCCCCACAGTAGGCCCTCACATTCATAGCAGTATGTAGGTGTGGTGGCAGTCCAGACCTCAAAATTGTGGGGTGTGGTACAAGAGATAGGGTAGATTAAGGCTTGGAGGGTCTTTTTATAGACATGATTTTTCTGCAGAGACAAATGGAAACATGATTAAAAATTAGCATGACATATTTTAAATCTGCATGATCCTCTCAGCATATTTTTCTGTTCTAAATTCCTAATCCCACATTTGCAACACCAATTGCCTATGTATAACTTTCATATTGGAACTGCACTCTCATATTGAAAATGCCAAAGCTGGTCCACTGCTAAGAATGTTTCTATGCTCTAAGGCAAAACACTCCTAAATTGAACGGCGATAATAGGTCAATGATACGCTCCTGTCGTATAAATCTGCAAAAATAAAAACTCTGCCCATGATAAAATGATTCTGTATCTTTTATCTTTACAGTCCCATTTTTGGTGAATGTACAGGAAAGGATCACAGCTTGTCATTTCACAGGGAAATTGGCTTTTTAGCCAATTGCACTACCACCTGTTGTTACAGTGAACAAAAAGGCAAACAAGATAAAAAGAATGAAGCACTTAAGAAATGTTACCTACTAAAGAATTATGTACTTTTACAGCACAAGATGTGTATCACTGTAGCAACACATGTCAAAATACTCTTCTTGGATGCAAAGTCTGCATGCAGGAGTTATGAATGGGAAGCGTTACAGATGTGATCCTGCAATTCAGCTGTATAATATAAATTACCATTTAGGAATCTGGATTTTTGAAACAGAGCCAGGTGGGAGTGCTTTCAGTTTTGTGAAAATAACATTACTTAAGAAGAGATCAGAAAGTGGACCATAAGATATAGGAGAGGAATTAGAACATTCAGTGCATGGAGTCTGCTCCAGCATTCAATCATGGCTGATATGTTTCTCAACCCCATTCTCCTGACTGCTCCTTGTAACCTTTGATCCCCTTATTGAATCAAGAACCTATCTATCTCTGTCTTAAATACACTCAATGACTTGGCCTCCATAACGTTTTCTGGTGATGATTTCAACAGATTCACCACCCTCTGGCTGAAGAAATTCCTTGTTATCTCAGTTCTAAAGGTCGTCCTTTCACTGAGGCTATGCCCTCAGGTCCTAGTCTCTCCTACTATTGGAAACATCTTCTCCACGTCTACTCTATGCAGACTTCTCAGTATCCTGCAAGTTTCAATGAAATCAGCCTCTCATCCTTTTAAACCTCATTGAGTACAGACCCAAAGCTCTCAACTGCTTCTCACATGATGAGCCATTCAACTCTGGGAACATTCTTGTAAACCTTCAACACCAGCACATTGTTCTTGAGATACAGGACCTAAAACTGCTTACAATCTTCCAACTGCAGTCTGACTAGAGACTTAGATAGCCTTAGCAGTATATACCTGTTCTTGTACGCTAGACCTCTTGAAATGAATGCTAACATTGCATTTGTCTTCTTAACTGCCAAATGAAGACAATCCTGAACTAGGACTCCCAAGTCCCTTTGTGCTTCAGATTTCCGAAGCTTTTCCCCATGTAGGAAATGCCTCTATTCTTCATACCAAAGTGCATAACCTCACACTTTTCCACATTGTATTCCATCTGCCACTTTTCTATCCACTCTCCTAGCCTCTCCAAGTCCTTCTGCAGCCTCCTATCCTCCTTAACAACACCCGTGCAGAGGGGGAGAGGTGCTTTTTGCTTAGTCTTTGATTTAGACTTCTAACAGAATAAATTGAAGCCTGGCATCTGAGGCTGAGGATAAAAGAAAGAATGGCATTGCAAAAAATCCGTAAATTCATCAGTTGGTAATAGCTGCTAATTTGTCTATTTACTGTAGGTTACTTCCAGACTGAAAATAAATAGGAGAATTATGTACAGGTTAAAAACTATGAGGAGGAGGTTGGTCAATGCAGGGCCGAGGGTGTTGTATTTAAATGCATGCATTATATGAAACAAGGTAAATGAGCTTGGAGCGCAGATTAAAATTGGCAGGTACATGTTGTGAGTATCAGAGAAACCTTGCTGCAAGGGGATAAGGGCTGGGAACTAAAGATCCAAGGATATCCAGCTTATTGAAAAGAAATGGGCAGAGGGGGAAGGATTGCCTTGATAGTAAGAAAAGAAATAAAATCAATAGCTCTATACATTCAGAAGGCATAGAACCTGTGTAGATAGAGTTGAGGAACCACAAAGGAAAACAACCCTGATGGACATTATGTACAGTCCTCCTAGCAGTAGTCAGGATATGGAACAGAAAATAAATCAGAAGATAAAAAAAGGCATTTAAGAAAGGCACTATTATAATCATCGTGGGGGACTTCAATAGGCAGGTGGACTGGGAAATTCATACTGGCAGCAGATTTCAAGAAAAGGAATTTGTGGAATGCCTACAAGATGGCTTTTTTTGGAGTAGCTTGTGTTAGAGCTTGCTAGGGAACAGGCCGTTTGTGCATTTGCTGAGATGTAATGAGGCAGACTTGTTTAGGGAGCTTAAGGTGAAGGAACCTCAAGGGGACATGATGGAATTGACCCTGCAGTTTGAGAGGGAGAAGCTGGAATCAGATGTAACAGTATTACAATTGAGAGACGGTAACTACAAAGACATGTGGAAGGAGCTGGCAGAGTTGATTGGAAGGGGTGCCAAGCAGAGAAGGCGGTGGTGCAGCAATGGCAGGGGTTCTGGGGATAATTCAGGAAGCACAGCAGAACTTCATCCCAAGGAAAACAAAATATTCTAAGGGGAGGACGAGGCAACAATGGCTGACAAGGGAAGTCAGCATCAAAGCACCAATTAGACATTTGACAAATTTATTTTTTGGGGATCTGATTCTAACCTGATTTTCCCTGTTCACCTGTATATTGAAGTCCCCATGACTACTGTGCCTTTTTTCCATGCCTTTTCAATCTCATGATCTATTTTCTGCCCCACATCTTGACCACTGCCAGGTGGCCTGTACATAACTTCTATCAGGGTCTTGTTTTCCTTTGTGGTTTCTCAAATCCATCTGCAGATTTGATGCCTTCCAACCCTTTAATTGCTGCTTGATATTGATTTAATTTCATTTCTTACTAACAAAGCAACCCTGCCTCCTCTGCCCATCTGCCTGTCCTTTCGATAGGATGTGTAAGCTTGGATATTTCATTCCCAGCCCTAATCACCCTGCAGCGCACAAGATCATATTAATCAATTTCAATCTGCACTACAAACTCATTTACCTTGTTTCTTCTACTGGGAGCATTTAAGCACAACACCCTCAGTCGAGTGTCAACTGCCCCCCTTTTCATAGTTGTCCCCTAAACTGCTGTGCCTAAAGTTAGATTCCCAACCCTTTTCAGATTCTCTATACTGTTACTTGTCTGCAAAACTGAATAACCTCTCCTGAGCCCTCCCTCACTTTACCTAGTTTAAAGTCATTTGAAAAGTGACTTACATTTCCAAAAAAAGCACGTGACTTCGTAAGTGCTAGCCAGCAAGCTGAGCTGTTAATTCTTGAAGTGTTACATCACTCAGTTTAGGACATAGAGAAAACAAATGATGAAGGGTCACTGAAATTTGAGTTCAGTTCACAACAATTAGGTTTTAGTTTGATTTGAGCAGAAGGCCAGATTCATCCTGGCAGAAAATGTGGACTTTTCATTTGCAAAGAGCAATTTTCATTCTAGCAGCAGAGTAATTTGTTAGGCTTGTGGAATCCCCAGGTTGTAATATTTTGTGGAAGTCACTTGGCTGTCAAAACTGAAAAGGAAGCCCAGGCCCTCAGAACTGAAAGGAGGCACATGTCATCTGAACTGGAAAGAAGTCTTAAAACTGTTTCAGCAGTTCAAATATCTTGATTGCTGTGGGTGGGGCAGCAAGATGAAGAGCAGATTATGGCCAAAGGGAGAAGATTGGGCAGGGCAGGGTATCAGATCTCAGACAGCATTTCAGATGCTGACCAGAGGGTTCAGGAGAGCACACAAAGTAGTCATGGAGACAGGAAGATGGTATTTACAGGAAAGCTTGCTGGACATGAAGGATACTTCTGCTTCTCTCAGCTCATAAGCAGTCTTAGAATGACACTTACCTCATGGATCCTGCCCTTATTGTCTCCTTTTACCTGCTATCTTTCCTGAAACCCAGGAAACAACTTCTGTTTCAGAAATTTAACCTGTCACTTGACCAAGCACTCCTGGTTTTGAAAGTGAAAATTATCCTTATGCGCACAAAAATGTAATGAAGTGCAACTAGAATGAACAAAATTGCAATGAGTTCTGATAAACATAGCTAATTTGAGCATTAATTCTCTTTCTGTCCATTGAAGCTGCCAGACTTGTTCAGTATTTCCAGCATTTTCTGTTTTGGTTAATAAAAAGTACTAACATAGGGACTCTTTTCAAATGTGCTGTTCTTACCAGCTCTTCATCTTTTAGAGAGGTGCGAGTAGCCATTGCAGAGGTAATGCCAGCTTTCCTTGACTGCACAAGTGACTGCAATTTGAAACCAAGTTTAGTATTATACATTCAAGGTCAATGCAATTCTTGAGTACAGAAAAATAATGCAGACAGAAGTCACAAAATTAAATGTGGATTTACATAATATAACTCAATAACCACATATATCTCAACTGAAAATTATGAACTTGCTCAAGGAAAAGAAAAATTCCACAAACTGGTTTAACCTGTACTGTTAAAAGAGTGAACCTTATAGATACACAACTGTTGTAAAGGATACTCATTGAATAAACAAGTGACTGACAAAATATTAGTATTATTGGGGTAATTAAGATCACTAGTTATTCCAGTGGTAAGTTCTCTTGAAGTGTTTGCTCTGAGTCAAACGACTGAATTTTGCTCATTTGAAGTGAGACAAATCCCATCAGGTGGAAGAAAATAAAGGTGAGTGGGACACAATTCCCCATTCCTGTCATGTGGTGTTCTTAAAAGTGTGCAATCCAGACGCTGCGCTGTTCAGTTGTACACATGGTCATTTCGCACTGACAGACTTTCATGTCGATGGGGCAGCATCAAAATCAACTGCAATTCATGCCAGCTCATACATGTTGTGAACCATGGGGGAAATATATTCTAGGGTCAGGAACCATGTAGATGGTACACACTACTGCCAATTCACATTGAAGATGGAGGGACTAAATGGCTGTGGATGATGATGCTGACCTCCAGAGAAGGCCAAGATGGATCTGTCCATTTGACACTTCTTGCAACAGATCCAGTGAAAGCCTTTTAAAAAGGTCAGCAGGGTTTGTTAATACACCTGTCAAAGGGATTGTGAACTTGCTTTAGACTGTCAGTTTTATGAGCTCCTAAGACTATTAATGGCTGTTTATATCGCTTAACAGGATTAAGGTTAATTTCAAGAGGAATTTAGTGGTTGAGTTTGTTAAACTGCTTTATGGTAATGATATTTTCTTTCTTCCTGGAGGAGTTGCAATGGCTGTAGTTTATTTTGCTAATTTTATGAGCATCTCAAAGACTTCTCAAATGTACTATAGTAAATACTGGGTGAGTGGGCATACAGGGTGTTGAATGAGGGCTAGACTGACTAGCACTCTTCTCTAGAACTGAGCTTATATGCCAAGGAAGGGCAGAGGACCAACTAAGCTGCCCACCTTAGCATTCACCTACCTTGGATCTTTTTTTATGGTACCATAAAGCAATGGTCCCATTTCCAGTTCATCCCTTTCATTCAACCATGAGCTGTCAGCTGCCACTGTCAGGCAAGAGGTGGTATCATAACATCTGCCTAACTCACTACTAGCAATTCCCATCTCACAGGGAAAAATCTGCAAATAATCTGTTGAGGGTTCTACTGTTTGTAAATTCGAGCTCACATGTAAAAGTGCACTACCCTGGTTTTGGAGCAAGAAAAATATCACAGTAGAAGAAGTTCTTACTCCAGAATTGCACCCAGTGGCCACTGATAGAACCTGTCCATGATGTCATCACAGGAGAGCTGTACGGAGTTCAACTGAGATTTTTTCCCACTCCCGCCTCCCTGTTGCACAAAAAATGACTTGCATGTATATAGCAGTGCTGTTTGTTCCAAAGTGATATACAACTAATCACTCTTATAATACAGGATGCATGGCAGCCAATTTCAGCAAACAAAGCCTCCAAAAACAGCAACATTTTTTTGGCTGAGTGGTAAATGGTGTTCTTGATACAGAGGATAACTGCCTTATGTTTCTGTTAAAATAGTTGCTGCAGGAATTTTTTCATCTGGCTAAGAAAGCAGATGGAGTCTTAAATTGGTGTGTGACCTGGGAAGGGTTCTGTAATGTAATAAGGGGCCTCCAAACCTAGATACACCTCCCTTGCCATCAACTAGTTTGAGTAGTTAAAGTTACTTGGTTATCCACAGCCTGGGCCTTTCCCTGCTGCGGTAGAACTGCAGCGGGTACCAGATGGCCACTTAAGTGGTCAATCAAGAGCCTCAACCGACCAAAGGGCAGACAGGATGCTCAATGCCTCCACTCACCCTGTATATTGTGAGAGAGGTTAGAGGAGAGTAGGGAGATTGTGGAAGGCCTTCAAACCTGCAGATAAGGCACCATAAAATTCCACCACATATCTTTCTTTGTGCACACAGGCCACCAATGTATAAGAATCTGCATTTAGAGAAGATTTTCAACTTTTTAAACTTTCACCAGAAAAATACATCAACAGAAACTGTAAGTGTAGTGTAGGTCTTACTAAGAATTCTCATTACATCATATAAAAAGCAATTAAACTAAAATATAAACAGATTTGTTGCATTGAAAACGCGGTTGTGATGTTAAGGGAATCTTTATGAGCAGAGATGTTTTAGGTGGAAAGATCAATGTCTATAAAAGATTGAGGAAATCTGGATGCATGTAATCATGCTCAAAATTCTGGGAAATTTTAGGCTATGTAATTGGATCGTGCCCATGTTGCATAATTCCCTGGGTGCAAATATGGAGGTAATTTATGGCACCTGTGGTAATCTTAAAGCACTGTAAATTAGGGATGGGATAAAATTGCTTGGTTTCTAGAACAGTGACTAGAACTAATATATCACCTTCTAACACCAAGATTTAACATTAAAATTCTACACCATTAATCCTTTACAGACAGCAGCTTTGTATGTAAGGTTCAGGTATATTATACATTCAAAACAATTAATATGCAGGAATGGGAACCATTATGGAAAGAATGCTGCAAAATATGATTAAACAAGGAAGTGAAAGTTGAGGGTCAACAAGCATAACGCTCCTTTAGCGTTTATTGGGGAGATTGTAGTACCACTTACCATGGCCTGCACAAAAGGAAGGTTTGCATACAAAAAAATTACAATATGTTATTGCAGAGTTCAACTCTACTGATGCCAAAGCAATCATGTCATATTATTAGCACTGCACTATGAGAATAGGTCCATTTCAGAAAAGATAGCACTAATTTTAATTTAAACCACTCTGAGTACTGGGTGGTTTTGTTTGGACACCTGATCACCTGATTTACAACCTGCTCATTTCTACAATCTATTGATCAACATTCCTGAATAGGTAAATATTTCTTGTTAAATTACAGATCATTCTCTTCCTTTTAAAAAAAACTACCTTCACAGAAACTTAAAAGCCAAACAACAGGCTTGTCTTACCCTGAAATCACAAGTTGGGAAAACTAAATCTTCTTGCAAGCAACAAAACTTCAATTATGTAATGAACAAAAACATTTTTCAAAGATTTTAAAATGACTGCCTAAACAGAACAAATCATTGATTGTTAAATTAATCTGATAAAATGTGGAAGAACATCAGATTACTTGAGGTCTGTTTTAAAAATGGCGGCGGCCAATATTAAGCTTTGAGTAACATTATGGAAATATGTACAAGAACATTTATTAAATGAGCAACAAAGAAAGGGCAGCAACCTCAAAAATACTGAGGCAGAAGTCAATCTAGACTTTTGTACCAAAGCTGGGAATCAGATGTTAACAGAATGGCTTCAAATAGCTGAAAGAATACTATTTTGGAAAGGGTAATTAAGTCATTGCCATCAAAGTGGCTCAATGAACAGAAACGTGTATGCTAAGACGCTCGAACACATTAATTAACTCTATAGCATTTCCTGCTCAAGCAAATTTCCATCAGATACAAGACATACCTTAAGCTGATCACCCACAAAACACAAGACAAAAATCTTAGTTTAATGTCAAACAAAATATCCCTGTTATTTCAGAATCCTGATCTCACCCACAGGTAAAGTTGAAGGCAAAGTAACAAAGTAAAGCCAATGATAAAAGCATCACAAATGGCAGTGACAAAGACTAATAAATCATGCAACATAAAGATGATTATTTCGAAGGGGGCAAAAAAAACTTACCAGATCGCTAACAAGTGGGATTGGTTTTTTCTTTCGCAGGTCTGGCATACTGTCAATACCATACAATCCGCCTCCAGATCTAGAAACAATATCAACATAGCTTTGTATTTTGGGTCTTGGAAAGTCAGATACAAACATATGATCATATAGTTTAGTGGTTATGTTTCTGCACCAGCAATCAAAAGACTTGAATTAATAATCAATAAAATGTGAGATCAAGTTCAACTGTGTAGTTTGAGAATCAGACTGAGTTACATATAATTTATGACAGCCATGAAAACAAACCTCACGCAATGATGAATGCAGGAAATCATGGCAAGAGCAGCTTGAGGTATAATTAAAATTAAGGTGTCAAACTTGGTAAAGCTACAAAGACAGGACTACTGGAGCAGCACGCAACTGATAGGGCTCAATGACCTCACAACCAATGCATCAGATCCAAGCTCTACAGTCAGACCACATCCAGCCATGAACTGTAGTGGACCATTAAACAAATAACATGAGGTGGAGTCTCTACAAATATCTCCTAAAATGTTGAGGTATCCAGCACATCAGTGCAAAAGACAAGGTCAAAGCACTTGCATCCACATTCAGTCAGAAATTCCAAGAAGATGCTCAATGTCATCTTCCTCTTTTGGTCCCCAGCATCACAGATGCCAGTTTTCAGAAAATGTGCTGCACTCCACATGACATCAAAAAATCAATGAAAGCACTAGATACAGCAAAGGCAATGGGCCCCAAAACATTCCAACAAATGGTACTGAAGAACTGTGATCCAGAACTAGCCACGCCCTTAGCCAAGCTACTCCAGTACAGCTACAATACTGGCATCTAACTAACAACGTGGAAAAGTTATGAAGGTGCGTCCTGTCCACAAAAAAAGGACAAATTTAACATGGACAATTACTGTTTCATTAGAGTCTCCTCGTTCATCAGTAAAGTGATGGAACTTGTCGGTGACAGTGTCATCAAGTGGCAATTGCAAAAAACAAACCTGCTCACTGATGCTCATTTGCTCCCTGTATCAGTTGCTTGGCTTTTCATTACAGCTTGGACAAAACATGATAAAAGGGCTGAACTCCGGAGGTGAGGTGAGAGTGATTGCCCTTGACATCAAGACATCGTTTGCCCATCCAGGAGTCCTTGCAAAACTGGAGGCAAGGGGCATCAGGGAGAAACTCTTCACTGATAGCGAAGGGGACTGTCAGAGAATGCAGCAGAATATAGATAGATTGGAGAGTTGGGCGGAGAAATGGCAGGTGGAGTTCAATCCAGGCAAATGCGAGGTGATGCATTTTGGAAGATCCAATTCAAGAGCGAACTATACGGTAAATGGAAAAACCCTGGGGAAAATTGATGCACAGAGAGATCTGGGTGTTCAGGTCCATTGTACCCTGAAGGTGGCAATGCAGGTCAATAGAGTGGTCAAGAAGGCATACGGCATGCTTTCATTCATCGGACGGGGTACAGAGTACAAGAGTTGGCAAGTCATGTTACAGTTGTATAGGACTTTGGTTCGACCACATTTGGAATACTGCGTACAGTTCTGGTCGCCACATTACCAAAAGGATGTGGATGCTTTGCAGAGGGTGCAGAGGAGGTTCACCAGGATGTTGCCTGGTATGGAGGGCGCTAGCTATGAAGAGAGGTTGAGTAGATTAGGATTATTTACATTAGAAAGACGGATGTTGAGGGGGGACCTGATTGAGGTCTACAAAATCATGAGAGGTATAGACAGGGTGGATAGCAAGAAGCTTTTTCCCAGAATGGGGGACTCAATTACTAGGGATCACGATTTCAAGGTGAGAGGGGAAAAGTTTAAGGGAGATATGTATGGAAAGTTCTTTACACAGAGGGTGGTGGGTGCCTGGAACGCATTGCCAGCGGAGGTGGTAGAGGCGGGCACGATAGCGTCATTTAAGATGTATCTGGACATACATGAATGGGCAGGGAGCAGAGGGATACAGATCCTTGGAAAATAGGCGACAGGTTTAGATAGAGGATCTGGATCGGTGTAGGCTTGGAGGGCCAAAGGGCCTGTTCCTGTGCCGTAATTTTCTTTGTTCTTTGTTCTTTGATGTTGATCTCGATCAAGTGGGCCACTGGGCTGAAAAATGGCAGATGGAGTTCAATTTGGATAAACGCAAGGTATTGCATTTTGGCACAACAAAGAAGGGCAGGACTTATAATGGTAGGGCCTTGGGTAGTGTTGTGAAACAGAGAAATCTACGGATTCAAGTATATAATTCTTTAAAGTCTGCATCACACGTAGACAGGGTGGTTAAAAAGGCGTTTGGGCACGCTTGCCTTCATTGCTCAGTCCTTTGAGTATAGGAGTTAGTAAGTCATGTTGAGGATGTACAGGACATTGGTGAGGCTTCTTCTGGAGTACTGTATCCAGTTCTGGTTGCGCTGTCATAGGAAGGATATTATTAAGCTAGAGAGGGTTCAGAAGAGATTTACCAGGATCTTGCCAGCCATGGAGGGCTTGAGTTATAAAGAAAGGCTGGATAGGCTGGGACTTTTTCACTGGAGTGTAGGAAGTTGAGAGGTGACCTTGTAGAGGTTTATAAAATCATGAGGGGTATAAATAGAGTTAATGGTAGATATCTTTTCCCTAGGAATGGGGTTTCAAGATTGGAGTCATATTTTATTAAGATGAAAGGAGAAAGATTTAAATAAATATGAGAGGTAAATTATTTTACACAGTGTGGTTCGTATGTGGAATGAACTTCCTGAGGAAGTGCTGGATAGAAGCACAGTTACAACATTTAAAGACACATAGACAAGTACATGAATAGGAAAGGTTTGGAGGGATATGGGCCAGGAGCAATCAGGTGGGACTTTAGTTTGGGATTATGTTCGACATGGACTGGTTGGACCGAAGGGTCTGTTTCCGTGCTGCATGACTATGACTGGGTGGAATCATACCTGGCACAAAGGAAGATAGCTATGGTTGTTGGAAATCAGTCATTGCAGTCCAAGGATGTCACTACAGGAATCCCTTACAGTAGAGCCCTAGGACCAATTATCATCAGCTGCTTCATCAATAACATCAAGGTCAGAAGTGGAGATGCTTTCTGAAGAGTTCAGTGTTTAGAACAAATTGCAACTCCTCAGATACTGAACCAGTCTGTGTCCATTTGCTGTATGACCTGGACAACATCAAGGCTCAGATTGGTAAGAGACAAGTAATAGTCACACCACATTATTGCCAAGTAATAACCATTTTGACTAATAGAGAACATAAACACTACCCTTGATGTTCAACAGTATTACCATTGCTGAAACTCCAACTAACAAAATCCTGAAGGCTGACCACAAACTGAACTAGCCATATAAATATTGTGGCTACAAGAGCAGGTCAGAGGCTAGGAATTCTGCAGAAAGCAACTCACCTCCTTTTCCCCAGAGCCTGGCCACCATCTACAAGGCACAAGTCAGGAGTATGATAGTATACATTTAACTTGCCTGATTGGATTCAGTTCCATCAACATTCAAGAAGCTTGACATGATGTACAATGTACACCACGTATACCATCCACCACCAACACTGATTCCCCTCATCACCGTAACACTGTGGAAGATGCACAGCTGTAACTCACTCAGACTCCTGTGACAGCACCTTCCAAACTCCTAAGCTCCAGCATCAAGTGGGACAAGGGGAGCAGATGCATAGGAAGACCACCACCTGCAAGTCACACACCATCCTTACTTGGAGCAAAATCTCAGTTCCTCTACCACAACACATAGTAGAAGAAGGTCATTCAGCCTGTCAAGTCTGCTCTGCCATTTAATGAGATCATAGCGGATCTGATAATCCCCAAATCCATCTTCTTGCCTTTTCCCATAACCCTTGATTCCCCTACTGAATAAAAATCTCAGTCTTCATTGTTGCTGTGTCAAAATCCTGGAACTCCCTTTCTCACAGCACTGTATCTAGACCTATAACCAGGTACTGCTGCAGTTCAAGAAGGCAGCTCATCACCACCTTCTCTTGGGCAATTAGGGATGGTCAACAAAATTGACCGAGCCAGCAAAGCCCACACCCCATAAGCAAATAAGAAAAACTGAACCGGACATGCACCCAACAGGTCTATGCAAGTATTTATCAAACAAGCCTCTTTACCTTCCCCCACCTATGCTGACCAATATATTTTTCCATTTGTTTTTCAGTTATTTACATATTTAACTTCCTTGTCTATGCTATTCGTCACAACTGCTCCATGTAGTAGCAGGTTTCATATTTCCATCACTGAAATGAACTGCGATCAACTCTCAGAATTCTGACAGTGTGAAGGAAGGCCTATTGGATCTGCACTGGCTTTCTCAGCAATTGACTTAGTGCCAAACACTTGATTTTTCTTGAATAAAAACCAAAAGAACCGCGGATGCTGGAAATCAGAAACAAAAACAGAAATTGCTGGAAAAGCTCAGCAGGTCTGGCAGCATCTGTGGAGAGAAATCACAATTAACATTTTGGGTCCAGTAACTTTTCCAGTAATTTCTGTTTTTGTACTTGAATTTTCCTCATAACCCTGCACACTGTTTCTATTCAAATAATCACCAATGCCCAAGTGAATATCTCTGCCTCTACCACATCCCCGGGCTGGGCATTTCAAATTTCAGCCACTCGCTGTATGGAAAAGTATTTTCTCCGTTTGCACTTGCTTCTTTTGCAAAATCCTTTAAAACTGTGCCTCTAGCTCTCAATCCTGAGATGATTGGGAACAATTTCTCCCAATGCACTTTGTTCAGACCCTCATAACTTTGAAAACATCTTTCAGATCTTCCCACATACATTTCCTTTCCAAGGAAAACAGTATCAACTTCTCCAATTTATCCTCATAAGGGCAGTTTCTCATTGCTGGAACCTGATAAACCTTCACATAAACTGCAAGTTCTCAAATGCATTCACATCTTTCCTGAATTGTGGCACCGAGAACTGTATAATACTCCAATGGATAGTGCATAATTCAGCAGAACCTCTTTCCTATTGTACTCTATGCCACTATTATGCAAAGATGGCAGCAGAATAGGACACTCCAGCCAGAGCTCCTCCACTCTGTCTGTCTATTT